GAATTTATAGCAGCGCAGATGGAGCTGAGGCAGATGGAAAGAGATCGGGAGCAGCTCAAGCAGAAGGCCCATGAGCGGAAACAGGTTTGGGACGGTCTGTTTTGTTTGTTCACTACATCAGACAGAATTGGTTATTCTACTTCACGTCTTCAAATTTTCTAAAACACGGTTTGTGATTTTCATAATTTAGTTTGCGAAAACTCAAAACATTAGCATTTTTTTTTTTACAGTTTTGTTGTCTTAAGGCGCTTTCGCACTGTACGGTACTGTACGGTACGGAACGGTACGGTACGGAACGGAACGGTTCCAGCCCTGTTATGTTCGCATTGCACTGAGGGCGCCATCGAAGCGGTGCAGGACGTCATTATTTTTAAAACTAAACAATGTGGTTTGAGTTGGTTGGTTGATAACTGCCAATTTAATAAAAAATATTACAAAGAGCACTCTTTACAAAATATAGTAGTGAGAGCCAGCTGTCAACGGAAAATCAACGTCTGACTCCATAACAACCAGCGGCCAATCAGCTGCTGGTTCTAAGCAGAACCGCTTGGCCGGTACGATTGGAACCACAGCTCTTGTGGTTCCATGGGGCTGGGTGGAACCGGTCGCAAGTTGTAACGCGAACACGCTCAGAACCGTTCCGTTCCGTTCAGTGCGAAAGCGCCGTTAGTGTGGTTTCAGATTTGACGACTAAACCAGGGACCAAAACCCTTTACCATCCAAAAACCCGTTTCAGTGTCTTACCAAATGAAATTTGCTCACAGCCCTTTCTTGTATTACTTGAATCAATAAAAAGTTTTTTTCACTGCTGCTTTTAGATTTTAGAAGACAGAAAAATTAGATAAAAAATGTTTTATGTGATGCATTTCCCTTGAATCCTACATTTCTGAAATGTTGAAAGTCAGCTTGTGACCTAATAAAAAGTGAATGTGATGCAGAGGGTTTCCCAAAAAACACAGAGATAGTGTTTGTAATTATGTTTGAGTTATTACGACCCACAAGTGACTTTGGAGCTGCCGGTTGCAGACCGCTGACCTCGATCACGACCTTAACAAGACCATGAAGCAGGAGAGACAGATTTGACTAGATTTGTTCAAACCTTTGACCAGATGTTTAGAAATAAATAAAAGCAATTTCTCTCTCTCTCTCTCTCTCTCTCTCTTATACCGCCTTTCTTGTTGGTTCAGTTTAAAACACCTGCACAGCTCAATTGATTGCTGAAATAGATCACAAGGAGAGGTTTATGTTAAAAACACAACAGGAAGCTCAAATCTGGGCAGAATTATGCTGTAGCAGAGATTATGCAAAACACAGTTGGTGCTTTGTGAAACGTTCCAGTGGGATGGATTTTAATGCTGTCTCAGGCCAGACAAAACATTTGGTTTAAACTTAGCCTTAGGCTTAGATATCTTAGCCACCAAGGCATAAGTTAGAACTGTTTATTTTTTATGATGTAACATTTTCCATTTATGTAATCCTAATTTTTTAAACATCCAGCTCTGTTTGTTTACTTCTTTATATCTAGAATCATAATGTTTTCATTGTATGCCATGTCAAAACTCATATTGTATGACTCATATGACTATAACTGAATATCTGTTTTGTTAATGTTTGTTTGTTGTTTTTTTGTTTGTTTGTTTTGTGGCAGTATTTGATTGATCTACATCGCCGTAATGAGGAGCTGAAGCAAATCGCAAAGGAAGCACGTGAGCAACGCTTCAAGCTGGAAATGTTTTTTCGGGTACTTCCAAAAATCACACACACACATACACACACACACACACACACACACAAACATGTTTATCAAGTTTTCAAGTTTGACATTCTGTAAGACATTATTGAACACTGCTAAATATTCATTTTTATATTAAAGTGTGCTCACATATAAATGTTTAATCCTGTTTTTTCTCTGAAAAGAAAGATCTCAACAAACATTTGTTTACTAGCTGGGGAATAAAGATAGGACATGCTCCCCCTTGACAAACTAGTCATTTTCCTTTTTAACTACAGTCATTTCTGTAAGATACTTCCTATTGCCATCCACCAGACATCTGTTTGAGGATAGTTAGTCCAGTCTTCACTTTCAACTATAGGATTTTTTTTACAGGCGTCTCCTGTTTGTACGGCTTGTTTCAATTCACCCAAAAGCACCTCTGTGAGATGAAGATTGGAGCTTCGACTCAATCTGTCAGACTTCAGTTTGGCCTTCAGGTTGGGCTCGGCGATACGGCGTAAAGTCTATATCATGATATGTTGAGCAGTTCACCTCAAAAACAGTAAATGGAGTATTGTTATATTCCACCTCTGACTGCGTTGGGTAGCGCCGTGAGACGAGCGCTACGTAACGGCAGCGTTCTCCAAACTTCAGCCAGGCAGTCCTACAAAATGTTGCCAAACAACATTTGAAAATTCTTCCGTTTTCTCGACCATCTCTTTCACTTCTTGTGAAGTCTGGATGGGGTGAAGTCACGTGGCTACGGACTGTCTAAAAGAGACATGCGCATAGCCTAACTACACACAGCCAAAATAGACAAAAATGACTTTTCTTTTCATTTTCCCAGGCTTAATTTCATTTTTTTCTTATGGTGTGTTCACACCAAACGCGTTACGCTTGTCAAAAACGCATCTGACGCTTCAAGTTCGACGCGTGTGCCCTTTGAATGCAGATGCTTGACATTTTGCTGTACACCTAGCGTTTCGTGCATCGGGCGCATCTGGTTTACATTCAAAGTCTATGTGGAGGTGCGTCAGAAGTGTCAAAATCGCTCTCGCTCTTGTTTTCCATTGCTGGCCTATTTATCGAAGGTGTTGGATGTGCTTGCCTCGTCCAACGCTCCAAACGCTTCAGACTGCTCCATGCTAAACGCACGAAACATGCCACGACAAGCTCTTGACGCGCCTTCACGTAGACGATTGGCGTGAACACGCCATTAGGCTTTATTCCTTTCTTGTGTCCTACTCTTTGATGAACCAGACCTTGACATGCTGGCGGTTGTATCGAATCTCCTCCACTTGTAGACTATGTTCTGTACAGTGGAGTGGCTTACCTGAAGTTCCTTGAGACTTCTTTAAACCCATTATAACGGCACTGACAGCTCTTTCCTTTGGTGCGCAACAGTCAGCACCACACCAAACTAAATGTCTGAATTTGAAACAAGCCTTCCTCAAATGATGAGTGGGAATAAATGTAGGGATGTCCTTAAATTTTTCTCACCAGAAATCACTTTTCAAACTACATCTTCAGCTTTAGGTTTTGGATTACATTACTTAAATTTCTGAGTGTGTTTCATGCTGATCTTATGTCTCCATAAATGTCCAAAAACGCACAAATTGTTTACGCGATTGTCTATGGCACTGAGTAAATCCGTCATTCTGCTCCAGGACGAAGAAACGGAATCCGACAGGTTGATGGCTGAGAAGGAGATGAAGGAGGCGTTGGAGAAGGAGGCGGAAATACAGCGGCTGAAGGAGGAGTGTGAGGAGCTGAAGAAGAGGAAGCAGGAGATGCAGCTTCAGACCCTCAAATACATACCCTACAGGGAGTTCTTGGAGCGCGTGCTCAAACTAACAAAAGTACGGAAGTGACCTGGCGTGTGGCGCAGTTTTCTTTTAATTCATTGGTAGAAATGACGAGAAAAAAAGGACACAAGTTCAGTTGAAACAGTCCAAATGAAGTTAAAAAGAAAAAAGACCTGACAAAGACATTACAGCATCCCGTAGGTTTTCACCAACATCTCCAAGATTGTCCCTTCATCTGGCAACTCTGTTGAATCCTCCACATATTCAGTACATCTTCCATATTTTCAAAATGTTAGCCCTAAAAGCTAGGACTGATCAGAAAAAGATAAACATATTTTAACCAAAAATGCAGAAGACAGAAACACACGCAAGCTATTTATGCTGAAGTCAGACATCGGGTTTTTGCGGTTCTGATGCTGTTTTCTGCATGTTAAACCTGCTGAGACATTTGAAGATCAAGTGACGGTTCAGTTAACACCACATGTCATCTCTACCATCCTCTAACAAGTATACTGTACGTTACGCAGTGTAAGGATTAGATTAATAAACTCTAACTTAGAAAAACTAATAGTTGAAAAAGTATTTCCTTTGCCTGAATTTCTTATTTTTGATTAATGCATTGGGTGGAAACCATCCTGGCATCACTGCAGGAGCTCTTCGATATCCGGAGATACAGCCAATAGCATGTCAAGCAGCACTTTCACATTTTAAAGATGTACACAAAAATCTGTGAAAAAGTGGGTTTTTTGCAAATAATTTAGAGTTACGTTCAACAGACAAATGTGTGAATAGGTGCATCTGTAGGTAACGAGTGTGGAGAGTCCACTGTAAGGATTTGCATCTTTTAATGTTAGTCTTTAAAATATCACAGTGTGTACATGAGTTTATGTTTGTCTGTCTTATCCCATCATTTTTTGTATTTGAGTAGCTTTGATTTCAAATAGCTTTTTACTTTTACTTGAGTAAAACCTTTGGGTTCTCTGCCCAACTCTGATTAAAACTTGAACTGTGGAAATTTCAAAAATCTAAAACCACGACTCGTTTTTTTACTTTATTTTTGTTTTAACTTTTCCATTTGGACATCTGAGAAAAAAAAACAACAACAACATGATAGTGGATCTATCCCATCTGTCCTTTTCCTACACACATAATGCCCTCCACTATAGTCCACTTCCTGCTTTAGGAGCGCTCTCCGGTCCGACATGCATTCAAACCGCGCCAGAGTTCACTTTAACCGAACTGAGACCAAGGCTTTCAGGCGGGCCGGAGTTTTGCTTTTTGGGTCGATTGCACACTCACACCTTCCGAAACAAACCGGACTTTCTGGGCAAACGAACTGGATTTCAATTAAAGCGGACTAAACAGGGCCGGTGCGAACGCACCCTTAAATTTGTTTTGAACTTCGCATTTATTTTTGCTCCCGTTTGTCACCAGGCGACCCTAACTCTGTGTCTCGCAGTTTACCAACGTGGACGAGCTCACGGGTTACTTAGAGAACCTCCTCTACATCAGGGATCAGCTGTACCAGAGGGAGACTCAGGTGCAGGAGCACATGGAGCAGCAGAAGAAAGCCTGCCAGAGCCTGAAGGACAACCACAACCTGCTGTTGCTGCAAAAGAACAACCACCTGTCGCAGCTCCAGA